CGAGAAGGGGGTGAAAAGGAAAGTGTGGTCCCTTTTCTCAAAAACTGACAGCCTGTCTGGTTGGGGGGACAGACAACTAAACAAATCACCCTGTCATATGTGGAATCCTGGGTAGGATGAGGACTCAGAGCTCATCGGAGGGACATTTCTATGAGCTTAAGGAGTCGGGCACGGGTTAAGAAGGACCAGTCTCGCTGCAGCGTGAAAGTTGAATCGAAACAGAAAGCAGAGGGAGGGTGAAGAAGGAGAAGGCAGGAGATTTTTACAAGAGGAAACTATACAGCAATAAAAATGAACAGCTACAGTCACAGAACCGTAGATGAATCTCTCAACTATACTGTGGAGTGAAATACTACATGCTATATGAGTCCATTTACAGAGAGTCCAAAACCCAGGCAAAACTAAACCATAATGTTTGAGGATGTAATATAGATGTAAAACAATAAAGAAAATCAAGAAAGTCATTATCATTAGAAAGCGAATTATCTGTGGGGGAGTGATTGAGAGGAGGCGGAAGCGGGGAGGCTTCTGGGTGCTGACAGTGTCCTGTTTTTTGACCTGGGTGGTGGTCACGTGGGTGTTCGTGATAATACATGAAGCTGTACGTTTTAGTTCTTGGTGCTTTCCTGTGTGTACACAATTGTAACGGGGAGCGGGGTAACAAAAAGAGAAAATGAAAGAATGGGAGCTCTGAGCCAGGGCAAGTACGATAGGAAAGAGAAATTTCTTGGGTGTCTTATTGTGCTTCTCTCCGTTCTCAAAGTCTTGTTTTTCCGTTTAGCCTCTTTGAAATCAGAGTGCACCCTGCCATCGATGATGGAACGTGGTTGTATCAAGGTCCCTCGCCATCTCATTGCTTCCTTCTGGTTGGCCTCTGACCCACCTAGAGCAATGCCAAAGCCAGTAGAGTTATGGTCCCCAGCAGGCCTCGCACCCACAGTTGGTCAGGAGTCAGAGGGGAAGAATGATGTGGTTCACTCCTCGTTGCGGAGAAAAGCGGGAAGGGAAAGCTGGCTCCAAGTTCTGCTCCACTGGCAGCATGGGGCCGACTCACACCAGCGGGCTGTTTCTTCCCATCTTTTGTGCCCCTCAGTGACCTGGCCAGCCTCATGCTTATCAGCATGGGCTAGCAGGTGGAAGGACAATCTCGGGATGAGCTGTCAGTAAAAAGAAATGGCCAGGAGCCTATGAACCAGCCCTGGCCTAGCTTCTACAGACCCAGGACCCCGGGCAGAACCCGTTCTACAAACTAAAAGATGCCTCCAGCTTCGATAGAGCCCAGCAGAGACGGACGCTACGGGGCTCTAAGGGGAGGTGTCAGAGAGAGGTGGGGAACAGTTTAGGTTAGATTTCTGAGGAATTTCCCGATGGCAACTATGGTGCCATCAAGCACCTACTCTATGTAAATCCTACAATTTCTTTCTCTGGGAGACATCACAACAGAGTACAGAGTGAGCCAGTGGAACATCTATGCTTTCCTGCATTATCTCATTAAATTGTCTACCAGGTCCCAGAGGTAGGCACTCTTGTTATTTCCAGTTTCAGCCAAGGGAACTAAGAATGGAAGACATAAAACAACAGAGTGCCAAGGTCACACAGCTGCTAAGAGTGGTGAGTGCAGGGCTTGCCCTCTCCAGAGGCCATCCTCTTAGCCACCTGGCAGCACGCCGAGTCACATGAGGCTCCGGGCAGGCCCTGCGAGAGATCTGATTTTTCTGGCCCGTCTGTACCTCTTATTCAGGGAAGAATTGTCTGCTTCCAGAGAGCTGCTGCCTGCGCCCTTCCCTCCCGACTCCAGAGGAGTTCGTCCAGGTAGTCATCAGAGAGTAGCTACCGTAGCTCGATGGCCTCCCATGGTCTCATTTGATTCCTCGTCCTGTCCCTGGCCCTGAGCCGTTTCAATTGTGCTAAAAGTAGCACTGACCAAATCGAGGTCTGTCCAGGGGCCAGGACTATTTTGATTCTGTCCTCAAGAATCATCTGGTCTAAGGCGTGTACAAGCTGGACTGTTCCCATGAGCACTCAGATGTGGTGCCGGGAATGTTCTGGCTGACACACCTGTCCCCCAGGCTGGGCCAACTGCTGCTTCTCATCCACAGCCTCCGCCGCATGCCTCCTGAGATTCTGGTCCCGGGAGGGATGGGTGGTAGGACTCACACTCCGGGAGGGTAAGGGGTTAATACCCTTATCCATAGAGAACCAGCAGTGAGCTTTGGTGACACTCCCCTTGTCCCTCTCCATTAAATGGGAGCATGTTGATCTATGGATTTATGACAGCGACTCACCATGGAGGCCCATACCAGGAGCCTCCTTAGAGATAGCAAACATAATCCTTCCATGGGAAGCAGAAAGCTTTCCTTTTCTGGAGGTCTTTCTAGTGGCAGAGATTTGCATCTGAGTGGCTTAAACATAAGTCCCCCTGCAGGGCTTCTGCCCCAAAAGGCCCATCCCTTCCTTCACTGGGATGGACCGGCCATTCTTCAAAGTCCACGGAAGGCCTGCGTCCAAGGGGAGTCCTCCCTGACCAGTCAGCCTCACTCTTCCCTTACACACTGCCCTTTAATAGAGGTTTTCCCCCTGGGCCTCTAGCCTTTCCCTCTCAGCTGTGAGCTCTGACGACTGGGTACCTTTCACGAGAGGGCACCCAGGTTGCCGCGGCCTCCCAACCCTTGTGGGTCGCTGAATGGGCACGGTTGGCAAGGCCAGCCTTGTTCTGCTCAGGAAGCAAATCGGCTATCCCTCCCTCGTGTTGATTCACTGATCTGTTCTCAAAACGACCACCGAACATCTACTCTGCCTGTTTCTGGTCTGGACACTGGAGATACAATGTCTAATAAGACTGGGTTCCTGCCTCAGAGCAACTCCCAGGATGGTGGGGAGACGTATATTATCAGAGAGTGGGCTAAATGCAATTATTTAAGTGCAGCGGTGACTAACGTTGCCCTCGGGGCTTGGGAAAGGTCTCACGGAGGAGTCGATCTGTGACTGGTCTTCACTTGGAAACACATGCGCTGGAAAAGTGGGGGAAAGAGCATTTCAGTGAAGGAAGCGGCGTGCGTAAAGGTGTGAAAGTACGAACGGGCCTAGTACAAAAGTTGCCATATTTTTGCTTTGTTCTCAGCCCTGCTGGCCATGGACAGGAAAGCAGCTTGGCTCCTTGGGGAGGGGGATGGGAACTCCACGGAGCAGGTAGCAGGGTGTGGGGACCACTTCTTCCCCAGAAGATGTCAGGATGCACAGAGCCCCTGGGGCCTGCGATCTCTCCTCCCAGCCTCCCCTGTTCTCTCCTAATCAGGATGAAATTGGCTCCTACGACACCGATGTGCTTTCCTTCTTGTTAGAATCTTAATGTTGCACGAATCGCAAGTCCCACTGCCCTGGCCTGGTGGTCAGGAGCAGAGGTGTGAATTAAACAACACGTGATCCTGAGTACTTCAGTCAGGGGTGCTGAGGCCAGCGGAGCAGGCCGCTTCCTTTGTCACTGATGATGAGGGTGCTCCCAAGCCTGCTGATCTCAGACTCATTCCTTAGAGAGCTTTAGGCACCTTGCTGACATCACCCAATAATAATAACATGGACGGCCACCTCTTACTGAACACTTTACAGGTATAATTTCATTTAATCATTAGATGACTTTATGATGCCTGAGATCTCACAGCTAGTCAGGATAGAGCCAGAATTTGAGTCCCCAGCCTTTGGGACTTTAGAAATCCCAAGCACCACTTTAATGCCACCTCAGTCTTGAGGAATAATCCTGGCCCGAGGATGCTGGACAGCTTGGCTTTCTGCCCTAGGAGTCCCCAAATCTCCTCTGGCTTCCAGGGCAAGACTTTGGCCTATTCGGACATTCGTCGCACCTCTCCTGAGTGTCTCCTGGGTGCCAGGTGCTGTGTGGAAGCCTGGGGAAGATGCAAAGACCAGTATTCACTACCTGGGGAAGCCAGGAGGACCCCCTTCCCACTGCCGCCCCACAACTTTCCCATTCTTTAACGTGACCTGTTCAGCCTTCCCTGTGCTCTGCCCGACACCCATTCTTCCTTCTTCGAAGCTTCCACAGGTCTCGTTTACCCAAACCACAGCACCTCTTGCTTTGTTTCTGCTTTCTTTCACCTGAAAGTCGTTTGTATGTCATTTGCATATGGAAGGCACCGGAGATACATTAATAGGACAAATTAATAAGACATGGTCTCTGCCACGATCTGACAGGGAGACGCACATGTAATCAGTGCATGGACTGAAGTGGCAGACACCTGTATCACTTCCTCACGCGCCCCCACCAAGACACTGACTTGGTCTTGTCAGGGGGCATCGTGAAGTAATGGGAAGGAAACCGGACCCAGATCAGAAGAGCTGAGTTCCAATACTTAACTGGCCTATCTTATGAAGTTTTAATGATGTGCTTTATTAAATGAAAGTAAGTGAACGAAAGCATTTTACAGGTTACAAAGTATGATACGAGTGGTAATTATCATGATAGTTATCTTCTGTCTCCCTCCTAGGATGCCTAGCATAAATCTGGGCACACAGTAGATATGCAGTGACTATCATTTAGTTTAGATTGAGTTGATGCACTCACTCCACGTGTCACATTATGATAGTCCTGTGGGCTTTTGATGGGTTAGTGTGAGTCCTCACACTGACAGCGCCCACCCTGCCTGCTGGGGGGTGGGGGAGATGAGGGGAGGACACAGTGAGAAGGATGTAAAGTGCCTTGGAGACTATCGATATCGAACTATAAGGAAACCGCCTTGGTCCCCATCACAGGGTGCTGGGCTGAGGACCAGGGGTCCCTGAATTTGGAGCCAAACGCCTGGGGCAGCCACCCTCCAAGCCGGTGACCCATTCTTTTTGAGAAACAAACGTGACACCTTTTGCCATTTGGGGTTCCAAACCATCGGGGCTGGCTGGCCCAGGATAATGCCTGTAACGTGGGCACGGTCCCTAGGGGGACCAGGCCACCACCTGCCCACCCCTCATCATCCCCTCGCCTTTCATTTCAGCACCCCTACCCTACGGAGGATGAGAAGAGGCAGATCGCGGCCCAGACAAACCTCACCCTCCTTCAAGTAAATAACTGGTGAGTTAGCATCGCCCGCCCAAAGGCTCTCAGATGCAGGGGCCACTTGCTTGGCAGGGGAATGCACGGCAGGGAGAAGAGACTAGAATGCCTAGTCCGGCCTCAGTCACAGCCCAGCCACCACTTCAGCCCTCCCACGTGGGCTAGACGCAGAGAGCCAGAATCAGCACAGGCACCTGTTACTTCATCTGCAGCTATTTTGCGCCCTCTGCTGGGAAACTGTGGCAGGAACATCACCGGTTAGAAAACCCAATCCCACCTGCGCTGCAGAGACTCACAAGTGCCTGCACCCAAGGACAGGAGGGGCCACAGTGGTCACCTGGTCTACCCACCACCTGTGCAAAACTAAAACATTCTGCAAAACTGGAAGTTGGAAGGAGGAGGAAGAGTTGGCTGTTCTGACCTTACAGAGATCTCAGTTTCCCCTTCTCTGTGTCTGGCTGGGCTGTCACGGAAACCTCTGAAAACGAGGTCTGGTTGCATGGGAGTAGACCCAAGAGTTGGGTGCCTTGATCTGAGCCCTTGGCCCCCTGGAGGAAAGTCAGAGGTCAGTGCTTGTGATTAATGGGGTTCTTCCTTCTTCTGTTCAATCCTGAGGGGTCTTGAGTAGAGATTCTTGACCCTCCTCACGCATTCATCTCACGCTGCTTTGTGGTTGGTTACCAGGTGATTCCATGAGCTCTGCAGTGCCCAGGGCCCTTCCTTCCACAGCCCAGGTCAGACCCCAGTCTGTTCTGCACAGTAAATCAGCTGCTGAGAGTGTGGAAGCAGCACAGCCCTCTCTGCACACACACACACACACGTGCACACACTCACGTGCACACACCCCCACCGCCACGCAGGTGGTGACTAACCAGGCCTCCCCCTTCACCCCTGGACAGGTTCATCAATGCCCGGAGGCGCATCCTGCAGCCCATGCTTGATGCTAGCAACCCAGACCCCGCCCCTAAAGCCAAGAAGATCAAGTCACAGCACCGGCCCACCCAAAGATTCTGGCCCAACTCCATTGCTGCGGGGGTGCTGCAGCAGCAGGGTGGCACCCCAGGGACAAACCCTGACGGTAAGACCTGAGGCTGAGTATACTCTAGGCTGGAGCTGGTGGGTAGGAGGAGCCCCTGGAGCTCCTGCAGGACAGCTGTGCAAAGATTCAAGGGCTGAACGTCCACTTGCCCGAGAGGCAGGGGCTGCTCTGTCACAGTAGTTATCCCTCCCTGATCTCCATGAAAGGGTGTGTGAAAGCCGGAAAGAAGGGGATGTTTTGCATGTACTTTAACAAGCCGAAAGCAATCTCACGAAGACCAGTGGGAGTCAGTGGTCATCTGAGTTAACGACTGCTCAGCAGAGCCCCTTCCTCACTCCCACACCCACCCTAAGTTCCTTAGTGCCTGTCAGTTTCTGCACAGTTCCCCAAAAGCCAGGGGTATCTATAAATACCGGGCAGGCAGCTGGCTTGTGAACGGAGGCCAGGAAGAGCTTTGTTTTCCCAGCTTCTCCATCACACCCTCCACATACACTTTTCTAATTGCCGGTCGCCTGGTGCACAATGAATAATTCAAGGAGCCAGACATTTTATAACTCGGCACGTGAGGATAGCTGTATGTGGGGGGTGGAACGAAGGTGTTCATGTGCGTATACATACCTTCAGGTACACGTGCATTTATGTGGTTGTGTACCGGTTCCTATGTGATGCGTAGTTGTCTTATGAGGCATAGTGGAAATAAACAGATTTTTAGTTAAACCGGCCAGGGAAAGAATCCCAATTCTTTCACGCCCAACCGTGTCCCCTTGCACTAATGACTTAACTATCTGAGACTCAGTTTCCTTCTCTTTAGAATGGAGATAATACCTACCCTACAGAGTTGTGAGATGGGGGGCTTCAGACTGGGGAATTGCCCAGCTCCCCACCCCAGCGGCCTGTCCATTCGACTCTCCACCACGGAAGCTCCTGGGCCTGACCCTCTCCCCCTTCTCTCGCGTAGGTTCCATCAACTTGGACAACCTGCAGTCCCTATCCTCAGACAATGCCACCATGGCCATGCAGCAGGCTATGATGGCTGCACACGATGACTCATTGGATGGGACAGAAGAAGAAGATGAGGATGAGATGGAAGAGGAAGAGGAAGAGGAGCTGGAGGAGGAGGCCGACGAGCTTCAGACGACGAATGTCAGTGACCTGGGCTTGGAACACAGTGACTCCCTGGAGTAGTCGGCATCCCAGATGGCACTGATCACCGAGCAGGAGAGGAGTGTCGTCAGGAGGGCTTTAGGGTGGGGGGGAAGGGGACATGGGCAGGCAGCGCCGAGGAAGTTGGGCCCCAGCTTCCCAAAATCCGTAGCTTGAAGAAATGCAGAGGAGATACCTGCTCCTTCCCAACCACCAAGCTTCTATGATACCCCAGCCCCACTTCCCTAGAACTGTGGAGGACTCCGTCTGGTGGGGCCAGTCAAGCAGGAGTGAGATCTGGACTCACCAAATCCCCAAGGACAGATTGCACCCATGGGCCCCCCACCGAAGGACTTGAGTTGTTTACAAGCCCTGCACTGTGAGGCGGTCAGTGCTTTTCGCAGAGCGAGTCTTTGCCAGGGGACAGAGTTAGGAGGAAAGGGAGAGACAAAGGGGGTCTGGATTCTACCCCCAGAAGGTTCTCAGCTCTTTTGAGAGACATTCAAAGGCGAGAGGAAGCCCAAACACGCAGCCGGCGGCTGGAGGAGTGGGGGGGCCTGAGGCATCACATCTTGCACATCGGGTGGGACCTGGATTCCGCAGGGCTCCAGCTCATTCCTCCAAGGCCCCGTCTCTGGGCTCGGGCAACCACGGACTCGGGGGAGAGGGACGGAGCCACCAGAGCCCACCTGTCTCTCTCCCCTGGAAACAAATGGTAAGATGGTGGGCTCCAACTATGGGAGGTTAAGAGGAGTCCCTTCACCTGGGTTGACTCCGGGACCCAAGGAGACGGCAGAACCTGGGCTAGGAGCCTATCGAGGTGACTTTGGGGACCACAGCTGTCCCTAGGTGGTCACGGAACTCAGCTCCTATAACAACAGGGTGGTGGTGTCTTATCCCAGATGTTCCAGCCCTCGGATGGAGCTGCTCATATGTTCTGCCCACTCCAGAGGCCATCAGAGACGGTGGAGCCAGGTCAGCTCGGAATCTTCCCATCCCTCAGCCCCCACCCCCACTGCGGGCCCTCTGCTCCAGGCCGGCGCCATCAGCCTCCATCTTCTCTTCATTCTATCCTTCGGAGAAGACAGAAGAAACATTGGAGAAAAGCATCCAACTTAATGGGAAGCCAGGGGTTGGAGAAGGTGCTACATTCCTCCTCCCATCAATATCCAAAGTGTGGGGGAGGCCCAGAGAAATGGCACCCAAGAGCCAAGTGGTGCCCCACCCCACCCCACCCACCTCGTTAATCTACATACCACCATTACACACAGCACGGGAGGAACTGGGGCTCCGGCAAGGAGGAGGCTTTCCGCCATCTGCGCTAACACACACCTTCCCACCCCAACTTCCAGGCCCCAAGATTGGCACCCCTTATTGCCCCTCCCTCTTACCCCTATGGCTGTGAATGACAGGACTGGTCACACGTGTGTTCTCCATTGGATTTAATTTAATGGACTTGCAGTTTCACTTGTAAATTGTGCATTGGCCATCTCCTTCAGTGGCAGAATGTGAGCGGCTCCCTGGCTCAGCTTGAGGGGACCCTCAGGGCCCTCTGGGGCTACCCCTCCCCCACCCGGTTGGGGTAGAGCGAAGGGATGGTCGCTTTCCTGAGGTCTCCCTGAAATGAATGTATTTCTCCCCCAAAAGAGCTGATATTTAATGTTTTAATAGGGATTTTTGAGAAACAAATAACCTTATTTATAATCTGGGTGATTCGATCATTTTTTACTCCCTTTTGATGCCACAGGTAGAGGAAAGTCTAGCTTTTTTGGCAACGTGCAGTGGGATTAAATACATTTCTTTTTCTGGTTTGTTTTTCTGGTTAAAACACACACACACACACACACACACACACACACACACACACACCCTTCCACTTACCACTTTGGACAGGTGTCCCACCCCAGCACAGGCACACCCGCACACACGTGCCCGCACACCCTCCTCCCAGCCCCTCCACCTGCCTAATGTTATGCAACCTCCTTCTGATGTATCCACCAAACCAATACTGAATGTGGCCCAGAAGTTTCCAGTAAATCTTATTACCTACCGTAATTCTACTGCGTGATTCTCTTTTTCTGTGGTTAGTGGGACTGTGGACCAGAGAGAATTTGGAGTCCTCAGCATAACCCTTATTTAACTGACTACCTACATGGAAGGGAACAGGCAGAGGGCTCTCTGGTGACCTCAGTTTACCTGCCTGGGGAGGAAGACAGCCAAGTTTGGCACACTCGCCACGTATGTGTCTACCTCTAAGACAGAGAGAATCGAGAGAGAAGACAGAGGAAGCAATGCACTACCCTCTCCTGACGCTTTTCTCCAATAGCAATGGAGAGTTCAGAATTTGGTCCCCTCCTCTACCGCATTCCACCTCCCCCAAAGTTCTTTGCTTTTAACAGCTCCATCCTAGGCTCCAAGGGTTTTCGTCATTGAAGCTGGTGCCACCGCTGCTGCACATCCCCAGCTCTCACATGCCCACCCTGGCCCTATCCTTCCGGTCTCGGGAATCAAGGAGAGAAAGTCTTGACTGCCACATTTAATCCTGGATCTGTGTCCAGAGGGGAGCCTACTCTTTGAACCCCAGAGTTTGTCATTGTCTTCCCTGGACCAAGAAGAAATTTAGAGGCAACTTCTCTCTTGTCTCCCCAAGTAAGTGAGAAGCAGATTTCCTTGTTACCTTGAGCCTAGAGGTGGCCTTATCTGGACAATATTACTGAAATGTCCAGGGAATCGGCTTAGAAGCGGGAGGGAGAATTCCTCGTCCACATTTGCAAAGGCTGCAGTTTGCATTTACCAGTGAACACCCTAGAGCCAGGCTTAAGATGGGGAAGGGACTGGCGACATAGGCAAAATGGACCTCCAGCAGCTCTGATGGCGGTTCCCTGGGTCACGGCTCTCACTTGACCTGGCCCTCTCATCACAACCGGGGAATTCTGCAAACACAGCAGAGCCCCCGCTACAGGCAGCAGAGAAAGTCTCAAGATTAGCGAGAAGGTGGTACCTTAGAACCTCACTTTCCAGAGCCAGGAAGATGGCAGACTTTCAAATAAACATTTCCCAGAGAATGCGCTGTTAAAAGATATGGTATATAAAAAAAAAAAATCCGTGGCCAAATTAGACTAGGATGAACTGCATATTATATTTCGCTAATAAAGTTTCATACGGCACGTTACTACAGTAAAGGCTCAGAAAAGTCCTGCAGAAAAGAAAACTTTAACTTTGTTTAACCTATTTCCCAAATTTATCAACCTTTTTTCCCCAAGTAATATCTATTCAATTATATTAGTATTTCACAAAACATACTTTACGGAACGCTATTCTAAGAAATTACAGAGCAGCCTGCCCAAGCCTTTCCCACTCCTTCCGAAGTTTTCCTCCCAAGCTCTGTCATCTTTTCAGTCACACTGCCAACAGAAAAAGGGGTTTCCTAAATTATTTGAGATGTGGGTGGTTGTGTTTTAAGGAGGCAGCAGCCCCTCTCTGTGCAAGACCCAAATCCCATCCAACCCAAGGAGATGTGCCACAATCCCTGTGGAAGTAAGAGAGATGGGACGATGTGGGTGCGGAGAAGTGGAGGGAAGATTTCCTCTACCCGCAGGATAGGCCTCTGATGCCTGGGCCCTGAGAACTCTCCACTGACTTCTGGCCCCAACCCCCAGCCCATCAGGAAAGACCTTTCAGGTTTGGAGATTCCCGCTCATGGGAGTTGATGGCTAGAGCTACACTTCCTTGGCCAAGGAACCCCCGACTGCCAAGGACGTGGCCGGATGAGGGCAATGACTCTGTCAGACAGAGTCTTGTTTGGACTCATTTGTTCAATCTGTATTTATTGAGCACCAGCTCTGTCCCAGGCAGTTTTCGATCCCGAGGATACCGCTGTGATCGACAAAAACAAGTTCTTGTCTTCAGGAAGTTTACTTTCTAGTAGAAGACTGAGACTGAAAGTGTGCTCATGACGTCCCCTTAATGGTTAAAATGTGATCTCATCCTAGGATGGTGACCACAAACTTTATCATTCTGAGCCACAGATCAGGAGGCGCTCAGGTCCAATGTGGAGTTCAGGTCAAATTCAGCTTGCAGACATGTTTTGTTTGGACCGTATATTGTTTTAAACTTTTTGTGCCAACATTTAAGAAAGATTGCATGTAAAAATTCAGATTCCTGGCTTCTCTCAAAAAATCAGGCAACTCGGGACCTATATTCACACACAGACACGGTCGGGTGTGCTTGGATCATTGCTGCCCCTTACGACATTGTCTCCAGGTGTCATGATATTGGCCACTCAGGTTGTCTAAACACCAAGACTGAGAATCACCCGCCGCTCATCATCGAGCTATCCCTACTCGATTGACTTATTGGTTAGTTCTGCTTCCCCCTCCCTTAATCCCCCTTTTGCGCCTTTCCCTCCAATTTTCGAATGGTTGTTTTTAAGAAGGCAAATATTTCTCTCTGCCCATTGCTCCATCAAGAGTAAGAAAACAAAATAGTACAAAAAGGGCTCTGCCTTGGGGAAAACAATGGAGAGAACACATTTGTTTGTGGAAGCGAAGATACTTCTACCTTCAATGCAAAGTGTACCTGTGTCTTTCTTGCACTCAGACATCTTCACTCTATGTTACCTGCCTACCTGGCTTATTATTCAGGCAGTCAGGAGCCTTAGGGCACAAAAACCACCAGAGTTGCTCCTTATAAATGCAGATTAGGCCCCATAACCAGCTTTTCCCAGATTCAAAACAAGATGCCTACAGACTTTGAGAAACATTGCTCTCAGAAAATAGTTTTCAGTTGCCTTTAGAAGTTCGTTGTTTTAACTTCCTTTTGCTATATAGACTACAGCCCCCCAGGCCAGTTACTCATTGAGAAAGCATTCAGAGGTGCCTACTCTGTGCCTGACATTGGACAGGGGTCAGATAATTCAACTTCGCGGAGCATCACAGGCTGAGGGATCACCGAAGACCGGCAGAGAGGAAGCCGATAGCACCATAATCTGTGCATTTCCACTTCGGCATCTTATTTTCATCCCACAGATGAAGCAGATTTTATTACACCACGTTCAAGTGTAGATATATCTTATACTTTTTTATTTCTCAGCATCTCTCTGGGCCAATCTCATTTAGCCCCTTAGCAAATTAAATGCATCTCATTAAACCAAACCCATTTAGGACAATGCCCTTCAGGTGTGTGCATCTTGGTGCATCTTTCATTTAAGACAAGTGCTTGATTTATTTTTCATCTCATTACACTCTTTAAAATTATATGCATCTCATTACACTCAGTGCACTGAGACGACTTATTTCAGGTGTAGACATTACACCCAGTATTATCAGGCAAGTATATTTTTTTCATTTCATTACAAGCCTTACAATTTATGTACATCTCATTACAATCAGCCATTTACGACAATTCCCTTCAGTTGTGTATATCTCATTATACCTTTTCATTTCAGATTTTTTTTCATCTTATTACACCCAAGCATTATTCAGAGAACTCACCTCAGGTGTGCATAGCTCACATCCACCTGTTATTTCAGGAATTTGGGAGTGGTTGCTTTCCCCCATAGTATTGCAAAATTTTTATTATACCAGACTCACTTAAAGCCCACTCTGTTTACTTGTGGGCCTCCTATGCTCCTTTATAGGGATAGGAAGGATACTGGGTTCCTCTGGATTTGGCAAGACTGTCAATAATTTCCTCTTGTGCTCACTTTGGCAGCACACATTCTAAAGTAGGAACGGTACAGAGAAGATTAGCATGGCCCCTGCGCAAGGATGACACGCAAATTCATGAAGTGTTCCATAAATAATAATAATAATTATTATTATTATTTTTATATAATTATTATTATTATTATTTCCTCTTTCACATAGGGACCATCTAAATTAGCTTCCTCACTTGCACATTGAGAGTGTTAAAAGAGATAGCCGCTAAGCTCCCCTTTGGTTAATACTCTGTGAAACTTTGGTCCTGTGCACGACAGTGCAACATGTTCCCCAGCTTCTCCTGGGGATGACGCTCCTCTCTCTGGACAGGCCCCGCCCTGCTGGAGAAGCTGAGATTGACACCACTGCCCAGGCTTCTACCGGCTAGACTGCTTCACACTTCCTGCTTTTGACTGGATACTGCTGTGTATCCACGTGGGGTCACATCTTTGAAGGAGATGAAATAACTTTGCTCTCCTGTGATACACTCTCTCCAGCACCTCCAGGCTCCCTGGCATCTTCGTCTCTCCCCAAACCTCCACTCCAGGAGTTCTCAGTTGGGGGACATCTTAGAATTGCTAAGCAGGCTCTTGGAGTTGCGGGTGCCTAAGTTCCATTCTCAATCTACTAAATTAGAATCTCCAAGGGCGGGGCCAAAGTAGGTGCATTTTTAAAAGCACCTCAGAGATTCTGAACCACTACGTCACCGAAGCCTAATTTCAGAAAAGCATCTGCAGTGCAGTCGCTCTGAGCTGAAAACGTCTGATGCTCTCAGTACACCCTCCTAGCTATATTTGCATGTAAGAATCCAAGCCTAGAGTGAAAAAGTCACTTTCCAGTCCCGAAAAGGGCACTAGGAGTCAGTAAACCCAACCTGCCCACCCCATACAGGAATCCCATCCACAGCACACTATAAATTGTCATCTCCCTTTACTGCCCAATGCTTCCCAGGCCAGAAAGGCAAACTGTTGCCCAGAGCCACCTTATCCCTCCAACTCCACCAGTGATCTGAGATCCGCCTTCTGGAGACAGATGGATGAAGGAGAAACCCTCCAGACTGTTTAATTGTGGTCCTCAAGGCCTATTTACCGCACACGCGGCTTCTCTGAGTACGTCTGGGTGGTCTGTGTGCTTCCTCTTCTGTCACTCTACCTGTCTCCTTGCCAATGAAAATAGAATCTTTTCGCTAAGCATAAAATAAATTTGAATTTCACCATTTCTCCTCCGCCACTCTAACTGAACGACCCTGCTGAGAAATCAGAACACGGCATGACTCCCGCCTCTTTGCTTTGGCTCCTTGTCCAGGGCTACCCGAAGCCACTGGTTCTAGAATCAGCAGGTGCCAGGGCTGATGGGACCATGACAAAGCAGGATTTTATGAGGATAGAGGGCAGGAGTAAGGCTGATTTTAGAGAAAGGGGCCACGCCCTGTCTTGTTTTGTTTTTGTTTTCAGGTTCTGTGTCTACTGGATTGAAAAGAGCGGATTCCCCAAGGCTTAAGAGGCCATAGGGCCAGCCCTTTCTCTGTGTTCCTCGAAGTTTACTAATAAAAATAAAAGTCACAATTTATCGAGCACTTAGCATATATGCTAGATACTGTAGGTTATTCAAAATAACCCTGCAATTATTATTAATATTAGTATTCCCATTTCTAAAATGAGGTAACTAGGGCTCAAAGATATTGAATGATTTTCTCAAAAATTATTTAGCTACTATGTAGCAGAGCTGGGATTTGAACCAAAGACCAAACACATGCTCCTCTCGTGAGGTAATTTGCCTCCCTAAGCCTCTGCTTGACGAGGGGTGGCCTTCAGAGTCAAGTGCGAAGCCCGTCTTCCCTGAAAGCCTCAGAGGTGCCGGCAGCCCTGCACCTGCTTTTGCTTTTCTCCTGTGAGGTCCCAGATGAAGCAGCTCTCGGAGATTTGGACTCAAACCTCAGCCTGCTTCTCCCACAACTCAGCATCCACCCAGCAGCCCACCAGCTCCTAACTTGAACCGTCTGTTTTGGAGGCAGGGACGGGGGCAGGATTTAGGTCCTCTGAGCTTACGAAGTTGCTCTGCATACTGTTCTAGGAGCTATAATACAGAAGTGGTTGGAGGCTAGTCTTGGAGGAGAGGCTTCTGCTGATTGTCCACAGACTGGGACAAAGAGGTGGCAACGGCAGGTCCACTCTACCGTTGTTGATGGTCACTCAGATGTGCTGTAGAGATTGATGTGTGAGGTCAGTGACAACGGCTGACATCCAAGCCTTTCTCATTTCTGGCCTGTGCAGGTGATTCCTTCTCTCCTGTCAGAGGGCAAGGCCAGATTCTTGTTTTGTTTTTTTCAGGCTTGACTACTGAGAGTGAGAGCAAAACCGGGTTGAAAGATGGAGGAAGAGCAAAGAGAAGAGAGGTCATGTCTGGGAGAAAGAGACAGAATGGTGCCCAAACGAAGTGGGGCAGCGGGGCGGGTTGTCTACTGAGAGCGGAGGACAGGCCAGGGCCAAGAGCACTGTCGGATTGGGCAACACTTGAATAAAAAGAAAAAAAACCCAAACGCTTCGTTCAAGGAGGAAAAGAAGAGAGAGGATAAAGTGGAAATACAATGGACTAGAATACAGACACCTGGCTGTTCCGCTAATTTGCTTCTCTGGTTCTGTGATTCATTGTCCTCTTCTTTGGCAGGTTGAAAGCTGAGGAAAAAATGAGGAGGGGGACACACGGTAGAAGTAAGAGGGGGTGGAAAGAGAAAGGGAGAGGAACTAGATGTGCATGTGTCTCTGGGGCTTTTCAGACAAAGCTATTATCAAAATGCCAACCAGCTCCTGCCTGGCCAATTTGCATACTCCATGCTGTGCTCTTTGAAGCAAGATGAATATGCATGAGGGCTTGGGCGGGGGTGTGGAGCTACTGGGCTGTGGGCTAAGGTGGCTCATTGTTCTTTTAAAAGAAAGGCATTAATAGAAAGCCAAAGCCCCGTCCTGGTCAGCAGAGTGGCCTTTGCTTCCCTTCTCTAGCGAAGGGAAGAGGAGGGCAAAGCTCAGGCTCAGTCAGAAATCTCGACTATTCTCTCATCCTCCCAAGGAAATAAATAATCAGGCGCCATCAAGAACCCAAGTGTCTCTTCTCCAAGAGCAGCATTTAATTACTCTCCTCTCCACGCATACTAATCACGGAGACTGGCTGGGCCAGCAGTCACCTCTCCTGCCTTCCGTGGAAATCAGGCTGCCTCTCTCGTTTCCCGCTTCTGCTGCAAGGAAGGCTGGGCACCCAGACTCTCCCTGCTTCCGGCCTTTGGTGGGACCCCAAGTGCTCTCGGTGGCTGGGCTGTGGTGAGAGTCCCTTGGACACAGTGGGTGCTCAAAAATGCTCATGGAATGGGCTCGCCGATGTCCATTAGAACTTGGCTTATCATTCATCCTAAGACACCTGGAGGATCGTGCCTTCTCACTGACCTTCTCCATCTCTTCCCTGACCACGAGCGGAAGAGAGTTGTACTCTAGGCATTATTCGGGTGAGCATGGAAAAGATTTATTTCAAAATAGAATTTATCCCACAAACTTCAGGGCCCCAACACCCTTCCTTTTGGGGTTTCTTTCTGAGATATCACATCTGTCTCCCATCCTGAAATAGAAATACAAGGATAAGGAAATCGGGGATTTTGGAAAATGGCTCGTCCCTTGTGATCATCTGTTTCACCTCTACACGAATGAAGGCCGACGACTGGCTCTGTGATGGAGTTGCCTTACCAGGATTTGAGCTTAGCAAAATCTACATCGAGACCTTTCATAGATGGGAACACACCTCAGTTAAAGAATCTACTAGCCAGACCAACCTCCTATCCACCTAGGAGGGTGCCCTACAGGCCTTGGCTGTCCAGTTCTCCTTGCGCTGACCATGGACCTCTTAGACTGGACTTGAGTTTCACAATCAAGACTGACTGAGTCTGAAGTATCGGTTCACCCTTGGGACCCTTCCTACAGTCCTCAAGGAGGAGACAGGAAACTGGGGGAAGAGATTTGCGTTCGCCCGTTACTCACAATACCTGTGCTTTCCTCAGGTTCAGCATCCAAGAGTCAGGGATCCCGCAACTGAAAACCTAGAGCAAAGCTTCTCCAAACCTTAATGTAAATAACAATTGCCAGGAAATCTTGTTAAAATGCAGCTTGTGACTCACTCGGTAGGTCTGGGGTGGGGCCTTAGGTTTTACATTTCTAACAAGTTCCTAGATGTTGTCAGTGATGCTGGTCTGGGCACCACATTTTGAGTAGCAGCCAAGGACAGAAGGAAGGGCAATGCGAAACCACGAGAAATCGATTTAATATTCCCTCTCAACTCCTGTGTGGACAAAAGGAGAGAAAAGAGCAGCCACCACTTCCACCCTTCCCTCCCAGACTCACCTCCTCCTAGACGCAGTGTATCCCTGACACGTGAGATTTATTTTTAACTGCCAGCAGCTTTGATGAGCTTGTCTCCGCTGCTTCAGACACCTGCTGGCAGGATAAATTGGGGGAAAGGAGTGGCTGACCCAGATCTGACAAATCCAAGGCAGGAAGAAAAGCTGCTGGGGAGTCAGTGCCTCCCCTTTGCTGAGACTGGTGACAAACCCCACCACTGGCTGTGTTAACTTGCTCATGACTTGATATCACCAGTGACCCTTTGCATCCTTAGCTGTAGCGCCAATGAAGGTAGAACTGAATTCACTCATTGTTGTCAAAGCCTGGTACTTACGTGAATTTTTTGACCCCTGAGGATCTACATGGGTGCCTATGTTTGCTTCTGTCTCCTATAGCAGTCAAGGCTCTATCTACACAGGGATTCTGCTTCATGTAGACCCCCGCATTAGAGCTGCAGGCACTGGGACAGCTTCCCTGGTGGAGCGAGTCCCCTTCACCCCATGCGAGACTGCTGCTGCTCCTAGAAAAGCAGAGGCTCGGGAAGTGAAAGGCAGGCACCAAGGATGGCGTCTACCGCCACCTACGTGAATCTGTGGCCTCCTGCGGAGTTGCCAGGGTGATAAAGTATAGCTTTTCGCAACATGTACACTTAGTTCAACCAACACGGAGCCCCCAAGAGTGAGGAGAAGTCTAATTGGATAAGAGACCAAGCGGCAGTCTGACTCCACTCCTTCTGAACACCTCCGCTTCTCAGCCTCCTCATCTGTGAAATCAGGCCCCCACTCCTCATGCAGAGTTGCCGCCATGTGAGATAACGTATAGAGAGTGATAAGGCCGGGGGCAGGCTCATAGCCAGTGCTTGATCGAAGTTTTTGTTGCAAAATGAGGCTGTGGAAATTGTCAGGGTTAATATCATTTCAGCAGGCGAATGGAAGCAGAGAGTTCA